GCCAGCAATGCCTAAAGTATTTACTATCTGTCCTGTGACAGAAAGTTTGCCAACTCCCACTCTACTTCATAACGGAATTTTGAGTCTCTCACTAAATTAAATACCTTGATACTTCTACATTTACATTCAAGGCAATTTATATGATTGCTCTCTCCACTCCCCTGCCCTGCTGTCTCTTTACTTACTAGCCACTTTCTTCACATGCAAGTATTCTCACAAATATTAATTACAATATACCGAGGTGGCAAAAAAAAAAACCTAGAGGCTGACCACGTCTTCTGTTTAATAGCAAGCATTCTAGCACAAGCATTTTTCCAAGAATGAGTTTAAGTTCTGCAATGGAATAGTAAATTGGGCCTATGTCGACCAGAACCCATGACTTATGCCAACTTCTCCATCCGTATACATCCAATATTGGAGAAGAGGAGACAGTTCCCAGGGCTAAACCAATAAACTGACTAATAATAGGCTGGGATAATATTCACCTAGCTTCAATGACAAGGTTAAAACAGATATGAGATGGTGACTTAGAGCTGACGTCAATAAATGTGTGGGACATCTATAGATCTGACACTAAGTTCTTCTCCACTTATATCATATGGCATAAAGTCAAGAAGGGTTAGTGATACATTTAAGACTTTCAACAATAAAGTGAAAAAAGAGAACATCTATGCTCTAAACAGCAAGAGTAAAAGAGACGGTGCAATCTAACAACACTACAGAATTAGTCAGAAAATCTAGAAAGCAGTATGAACCTACTGGACTAATACATCAGAAAGAACTATTTTCATTTCAGCACAACCAGTAATATGTGATATGGGGCAAAAAGTACTAAAAATCATTTTCCAAAACAAGCAACACCTGAATAAAACATTCCTTTCCCAACGCTAGAATGGAAAAGCTAGAAGCCTACTTTCCTTGAAACTACCGAAACCTGAAAAGCATTGACTCAAAACTGAGAGGTCTTTATACTTCCCAAATAATTAAACATTCTGCAGAAGAAACCATAATCCAATACACACTCTTTAAAGAGATGAATGAGAAAGACTTAAGGGGAAATCTTATTTTAAGGACTACGCTACATAGACTCAAAAGTTTGATAAAAAGTTTATTATTTTTAAGGAGAGGTCTCTAATCAATATGATTTTGATACATCGCATGTTGATACAATGAGAAACTAATTAGAAATGCAAATATTTTTTCATTCTAGGAGAAACTTTTTAAGTCATTAACTCTACATCCCTAAAATGCAAACCTACAATCTTCGGATTTTGAATATATTCCATATATATTTTCAAGGTGTCAATGCATTTAAAATTTCCTTTATGCCTAACTTTCTTTAATGGTTTTATTACAATTTCTAATAATGAAATTAGCATTATAACACCAATATACTCAACATACAAATACTCGTTTATTAATTACCACACCAATTACTTAACATGAGAAAAACCAGCAGTGAAAAAGTAGCTTCTGAAACCACAGGTATGCACTACAGGAGTGCTAACTCATACACGGGACTTATTAAGAATTTATATAGCACACTTATATTTGCCAAGTGCTTCACAGTCACTTTTATTAGCTGTTTCTAGTGCAAAACAATCCATGAAGAACTTTACAGAAGAGGAGCCTAGGCCCAGAGAGGCACCAAAGAAAAACAATTTTACTCTGGAGGAAATAACACCATTCTCTTACGATCTATGCCTGATCCTTCTAATAATCACCTTTCATCTGCAGAATGAATTTTGCAAAAATAAGTTATTAACAAATGTGAAAAATAGCAAGGAAATACTGAATTCTCTGGAACAAGCCATTAGACTGTTTAAACGCTTTTAAATACTTGGGACTAACTACTATGTTTCATTATACAGACACAACTATAAGGAAGTAAAATCCTCTCGAATGCCAAACTTAAAGTGGGGTTATTTTTCACACTTGCTAAAAAAAAAAAGAAAGTAACCAAAGCAGCTCATCTAACAAGTTTAAAGTCAGGTTCCATAATAAGGAGTCAGGTTCTGTTACCAAAAAAAGTAGAACCCAACGAAAAGCAGTGTGTGTGTAAGGAGGAAGTTCTGGAAGAAGTCAGAATCTGCTGCCTAACCCGCTCAGTCAACGTATCTCTCCTAAAATAATGGTTATGACCAGAACTTGTGGTTTAATCAGTGCATATCTATCTCAGCACCAGCAACGGATCCCATTCAATGTTTTGGAGGAGAAAAACTTGAGCCAGCGCTAGATGTGGAGGAAAGTTCCTTCCTTGGCTCATTTAAACACCCCCCATTTATTTTCTCTTGGTGTTGCATCTTAATGAGAAGAAAAAAACAGAAACAAAAACTATACGCTCACCTAGAGCGCAGTTTGCCTGCGGAGTTGTCAGGACCCCAGGTCTCTCGACCAGAGCCCGTAAACCTAATTCCCTAGTCAGAGCTCATCCAGCTAACAGTCCCAGCCGGTAAATCAAGCGCTCTTCCTCACCCCCTCCCTCCTATTTCCCGGGGCCAATTCCGTGACCCACATCCCTACACCCTACACAGAGCCGCAAACTCTGCACCCCCATTATACTTCCTCCCTGGTGGCTCCCCAGTTACCCTTCACCCCAGCCGCCACCCCATCTTTGTCTCGCAACCCCAAACACACATCTCAACGTTCCCTCACTCCCAACCGCAGCCCTTCCCCCACCGCCGACCCCCATCCTCCAGGTCTCCTCCCCACCCCCATATTCCCCACCCCTGCGCCCCGTCACCCCAGCTCCTCGCCTCCCCAGCCTCGCATGACCCGTCCCCTCCCCCAGCTTCCTCTGTCCCTTCCTTCCAGTCCCTCGGCCCCTCCGCCCACGCCCACCCCTGCTCCCGCGGGTCCTCTGCAGGCCTTTCACCTTGTCCATGAGCTTCCAGCACTTCTCCACCATCTTCTTGTCCACGGTCCCCGGAGGGTGGGGGCTGAGGTGGTGGTGGTGGTGGTGGTGCGGCTGGAAGGCGTCCTTCATGAGCCCGATCAGGCCTCCCGAGCCCGAACCCCCGGAGCCGCCGCCGCCCCCGGCCCCAGAGCTCTTTTTCACATTGCCGGCCATAGCCCGGGGAGGGTTAGGGGCCCAGCCGCGTCCGCCGGCTCCGCTTGGCTGCAAGTGAGGGAAAGAAGGAGGGCGTGAAGGAGGGGCCTCTCCCGGCCGCCGCCGTCACAGCCGCCGGCCGTCCGGGCGGAGGGAGGGGCGGTCGCGGGGAGGGGAGTGGGCGGCGCCGGGAGCGTGGGTCCGCGCGGGCGCGCCCCTTCAGAGAGCGCGAGCCCGGGGGAGGGAGGAGCGCGCGGAGCCGGCGGCCGCGTCGGGAGTGGGGAGCGACCCCTCCTGCACCACCCCCTCCCGAGCCACAGCTCCCGGAAAGCTGCGGCCAAGTTTCCGCGCCGTCTCCCCCGCCCCTACCGCGAGGTGGGGGGGCGCTGCCCAGGCGGAACCTTCGCGCTGCGCCCCCTGCTGGAGGAGCGGGGAAAGGGCGGGGCGGGGTCTAACGTGGAGCCTGCGCACTAGGCAGAAGCCGAGCCCTCCGTGTTCCTTGTGGGTTGTGGGATGACCCTCCTGGAGGCGGTCATTGGGCTATTTAAATTAAGACAGGTGGCCATAGAAAGAATCTGAACTTCAAGTCTTTACCCCACACCTGACAAATGAGGAAAATGAACTTAAAGCTGTTTGCTTCTTAACACTGTGGGAGAAAAAGGGAAATTTTTTCCCCACTCCTTAGTGTTTTAAACTAGTTAAGTCAGGACCAAGGACAGGAATGTGAATGCTGCGGATTGTTGCATCCTGATTAGACCCCAGAAAGGCTTGAGACACTTAGGCCTCGAGCTCTTCTTCCAGGCCCTTTGACCCTTCTGAAAACAAAACACTTACCCCTTTTTTTGCTTTGAACACAAGTTCCTTTTCTGGAAATTGAATATGTACTTAAGATTCCCCTGCGCAGCACACTGCACCACAGGTGGGCACTGCCAGCATCAAGCCCTGACCACAGAAACCTTGAGCTTCAAGCCCTGGCCTGAGGTGTCCTCGCTCCTCCCAGGGAACAGTAATGCGGTTCCCAGTCACTTCCACTTTTCTAGTCTCAAAGTTCCGCTGGAAGAACTTTGAAAAAAAGAATCCCTCTCCCAAAGAAGGAAGTGCCCTGCCCCAATTTGCTAATTCTGAGCCTCAGCTTTGGGAGTATGCAGGCCCTGGTGTCTCAATAAGTACTCACTTCCTCCTTAGATTCCCCACCTGGCTCTTCTACAAAGCTCTTGACTGATTAGGGAATTAAGCTTATCAAACAGTCCTGTAAGAGGGGAAAAAATATCCTTGTCTGCAATTCAATGGCCTGTATCTAAGATTGATTGCGGAGTCAAAATTATCATTTCCTATCAGTAGAATTTCCCTTAGTCAATTCCTACCTAGAAAGAGTTAAAATGTCTAAAGAAAACATATAGGCAAAGCTCTTAGATAATTGTCAAAACTTCCCATCCCTAGTGCATCCACCCTTAGTTGCAGGCTCTCCTTCCCTCTCCCTTGGTCTACTGAAACCTTTTCCTCACTGATTTCCCTGCCACCTCCAATCCACGCTGCCACCAGACCAGTGTTCCTAACGTATAGGTCTGACAGCATAAAACCAAACAAAACAAAACACTTTAAACACTCCCCATTGCCTCCTGAATGAAATTAACAGTTACGATCTAACTCCAAACTACCTTGCAGTTTTGTACTACTCCAGTACATATATCCCATGCTGGGTGACTCACCAACTCACAAAATACCACAATTCTTTCTTTTTTCATCACTATTACTCAGAGCATTCCCTCTGCCTAAAGAGTGCTACTAAAGTCCAATCCATTTTTTTATACTCAACTCAAATATTGTCCTCCTTACCAGACAGTCCTCCTCTAAATTTCCATAACCATCTATTTCTCACCTGCCACACATTAATTTATGCTATATTGTCTTATCGACTTTGGTTTTCCACAGTACCTAGCACACTATAGACATGCAAGGGTACTATTTCCCCTCGTAGTCAAATCCTAGATTTTATGGAATATAGGTTAAGAAATTAACCCTTGGAGCTGTGTATGAGCTTGTAGGTCATTTTCACAATGTACATCATCATTGTACATCTCTGGCTTGGTTTAAGGCTTCCAATTTGCATTATGTTCAGTATGGTCTGTATAGAATGGAACTGTAAAATTTGCACTCTTTTTCTGCTGTAGTAAGCCATATTTCTTTTTTATTTATTTATCTATTTATTTATTTTGGGCTGCGTTGGGTCTTTGTTGTTGCGCACGGACTTTAGATGGGGCGAGCAGGTGCTACTCTTCGTCGTGGTGTGCGGGCTTCTCATTGTGGTGGCTTCTCTTGTTGCGGAGCACGGGCTCTAGGCACGTGGACTTCAGTAGTTGTGGCACGTGGGCTCAGTAGTTGTGACTCGCGGGCACTAGAGCACAGGCTCAGTAGTTGTGGCGCACGGGCTTAGTTGCTCCGCGGCATGTGGGATCTTCCTGGACCAGGGCTTGAACCCGTGTCCCCTGCTTTGGAAGGCAGATTCTTAACCACTGCGCCACCAGGGAAGTCCCATATTTCTTTTAATATATGATGACCTATATTTGTCTCACATTTGAATGAAGTAGAGAGGGTGACGCTTCTCTCCTCTGTATCTCTTTAAAACCCCCAGAAGGGATCCTATTCAAAGGAAGACAGAGTTGTGCTGAAATGATCGTTCCTGTTTTCACTTATGAACTGAGGTTAATGAAGAAAGAAAGAAAGATTGGCCTTTCTTTCACAATTTTCACTTGGCTTGTTTTCATAATGTGCTGGAGATTGAATTGTTGATCACAATGTCATTCTCATTCCTGGATTATTCTAGAGCTTGCTCAGTTTGTATCACATCATGTGACCTGTGGCAATTTTCTTATTCCATTTCACCTTCGCCCCAAACCACATCCTCTCTGCACCTGAAAGTCGGTTGACTGAATATATTTGAAAAGTAAATGCTTTTCTGAGACACGATATGTTGTTTACACCCTGTAATTTCTGTCCTCAATATGGGGCTCCGTGCATCAGCACAACAGAGACACTAATTATTCTGTTCAAAAGTCCTCAAACAGGCTTCTGGATGAAGGCAAGGACCGGGACAGGAACCTCTACTGCATTCCTACTCAGGGAGAGAGGGTTCTGGGGGGAGGGGGGGAGGAATAAATAAAAAACATGCTTCAGGATTAGAAGAAAAATCTCCGATTTGGGAGATGTGCCCAAGGTTATCTGACACTGAGGTACAGGAACAGTAAGCAACGGGAAGGACAAGGCCGCTTCTTCTCTTTACTCTGTAAAATGTCCCCGGGGTCAGAGAGGTACCCTGCAGCCACGGAGGTGACAAATAAATATCATCACCCTGTGCCTGTATCTGCCTGCTCCCTAGAGGAAGGACTCTTCCCCAGATCTCATGGCTGTTTCTTCAGATCTGTTCCTGACAACAGGCAATTGACCAAAAATGACCAAAAAATGTTGAGGAAGACAGAGATAGAAATATCTAAAGAAAGAGTCTGCAGTTCCCTTAATCCACAAGGGGAAAAGCCCTGAAGTTTCTGCTGTTTTCATTCTAGCCAGTATGGTGTCCAGAGATCCCAGTGACAGACAGACAACAAGGCTCCCAATAGCACAGGGCTGGAGAGAGGGGGTGGGGGACGAGGGCTGCTGACCAGGGCAAACCACTCGTCATTGTCCCTTCCCCAGATTTATTTTTCCAACTCTTCATGACTCCAGCAAGAAGCATCCCTAAGTGGGGGGCAACCCCCCAACATTGCTCAGTAAATAATTTAAATAGAAAAACGCAGGAGGGCTTCCCTGGTGGCGCAGTGGTTGGGAGTCCGCCTGCCAATGCAGGGGACACGGGTTCGTGTCCCGGTCCGGGAAGATCCCACATGCCGCGGAGCGGCTGGGCCCGTGAGCCATGGCCGCTGAGCCTGCGCGTCCGGAGCCTGTGTTCCGCAGCGGGAGAGGCCAAAAAAGAAAAAGGCCCGCGGACCGGGAAAAAAAAAAAAAAAAAAAAAAAAGAAAGAAAAACGCAGGAGACTCAGTAGAAGGTCAAGTAAGTCCACTAGAGGGAGCCCCAACCAACTCAGTACTGCAGAGAGCCAAGCAAGGTATTTTCTCAGCACCTGTCTGAAAGTCAACCACAGACAGGAATACGGGAAAAGAAGCAATACAGTAAGTCACAATGAGAGGAGATAGTCCTGTAAATATCCAGGGAAAATCCAGGCCTTTCAAGATTTACAAAATCAAAGATTTCTTTTTTATTTTTTGGCCGCACGCTGTGGCTTGCAGGATCTTATTTCCCCAACCAGGGATCGAACCTGTGCCCCTTACAGTGGAAGCGCAGAGTCCTAACCACTGGACAGCCAGGGAATTCCCCAAAATCAAATATTTAAAGACCAGGAAACTGAGGCTGAGCAAGTTTAAATGGCTTGCTCAAGTTTACATATCCGGACGGAGGGGATAAGAACTCACAGCTCCTATCGCTAACCAGTGCCCTTTCTTCTCCATTTGCATCTCTCTATGTCAACACCCTGAGGTCCTGGGTCTACCTCTCCTTTGCGTCTCATTTCTCTGAAAGGGGAAACTCTCTCAACCACCTTCTTCTGCACTTCTTTCCTTCATGCACCACAGAGTGCCTTCCAGAAGGGGAGCTTCGGTTTTAAACCTAATAATGTCATTTCGCTGATGAGACCTTGGGATGTGTAAATTGCCCAGAATGGCTACTGTCAGTCCTTTTCCTCTGTATCAGCACAACAGCACTATTTCAGACGTGTAAATCTGTAATTTGTAAGTCTCCAAATTGCAGGCTGTGCTACAGAGAAGTGAATCATAGATGATCGGCTCCAAAGCCCTTTCTCCTCAAACTACACTTAGGATTTGGGGATAAGGAGAGTATTGGCCCTCTGAGACCTCGGTATTTTAAGCTTTGTATTTAGTCCCTTCCACCTTCCTATGAACACCATGTTTCCCAGTTGCCCGGACGACATGCAGCCTCCAGAAACCCAACCTTCCAGTTCTCAGTCCCGCCCCCAGACAGAAATTTGCCACTCTGGATTGGTTCCCAGAACCCAGTCTCCTCCTCTGGCTCCTAGATCGTTGGGCCTTTTCTCTGCCCCTCCTCGTGAGTGGGTCACACCACAGGGAGACACAACAGAGGCAAGAGAGGGTCTTGCAGAAAGGAAGAGGCAGGGTAAGGATGATGGGAAGAGGGAAGGGACCAGGTACTGAGCTTTGTTTTCTCTGAAAGAGGATTGAGAGGAATGATTTCTGTACTTAGAACCTGACCGATAGAGAGAAACAACTCCATCCTTCCCAGTGGCCTCAGCCTTGCCTAAGTTTCCAAGGAAACCAAGAACAGAAGCTTCTGAAAAGTATAAGATACAGAGTTGGAGACTAGAACACTAATTCTCCTGAGACTCCTGGTTCAGTCTAGGGGTCAGGTAAGCATCTCCGTTGTCCAGACCTAAATACGAGTCCCCCCTCTCCCCCAGGACAGCAAGGAAATACGACCTAAGACCAAAGAAAAAGGGACAAAACCTGGGACACAGAAGAAGAAAAGGAATGCAGCTGTTGGTGAGTCAGGCTGGGTGGAGGTGGGTGCCCCCTGCTTCTCCACGTTCTGGCTCAGAGACCGAGCAGAGATCCTCCAGAGAGAATTCAGCCCTCTGCCCGATAAGACAGAGCTGTCTTGACCCTCCTCCTTCATATCTGCATCCAGATTCCATGGAGCTGGGGAAGTGGGAAAATCAGCACCCATGCCCATCTGAGCCCCCTCTGGCTCTGTGCCTTCCTTATGTATTCATTACACATCTTTTGAGTACCTGCTATGTGCTGGGCAGTGAACTCATTAGACTTTGCCATCAGAGATCCCTCATTTAGTGGTCCTGAGATCTCCTGCAAAAAAAAAAAAGATCCGGGGTGTGGGATGAGGATGGGAGGGGAGTAGGTAAGGCTGAGATCCTGACAAGCTGAGGCTCTGCCATCTTGCCAGGGCAGATGTGGAGACTGAATCCATACACAGGCTGGCACTGCTGGAAAAGGAGCTGCTCCAAGACCACTTGGGTAAGAAGAGTGGAAGTTCTGGGGGCAATAGAGGTGGGACAATGGGCATTTCTGTATCCCTGGGAGCTTGAAGGGTTGGAGCTATGGTAGAGGGCTGAGCTGATCTCTAACCATCCCCTAGTGGAAAAAGATTGTCAAGAGTTAGGGTTGTGAGGAAACGGTGGGCAGTAAGGGCTGATAAAGGCAGCTATATTTTTCTTAATTTTTTGTCCGCACCACGCGGAATGAGGGTTCCCCGACCAGGGATCGAACCCTCACCCCCTGCGGTAGAAGCATGGAGTCCCAATCGCTGGACTGCCAGGGAAGTCCCAAGGCAGCTATTTTTCATAGCCAGAACACAGAGGGAGTTTGTGGTTCTTAGTAACGAAGAGCCTGTAGGATTCTAGGGGGGAAAAAACAAACACCAGAATGACAATGAGAGACTGGCAGCCTGCTGCCAGGTTTCCAAAGGTGGGCAGAGTCCATCAAGGCCATCGGGGCTGATTTAGTGGGGTCCCCAGCCAGTCCTGAGGGCTGCTCTGGGACTGTTTACAGCTCTGTGGAGGGATGAGGCCTGCCAAGCCAAGGCTTCTGAAGACAAGCTGAAGCAGAGGATACAAGAACTGGAGGCTGAACTGGAGGGGGCCTGGAGTGAAGGGAAGGCCATATATGCAGGTGTGCTGTTGATTAAGCAGGTGGGCAGGAGACAGGGGCCTGGAAGAGGACACCCAAGAGGGCCAGAGGTTGCTGGGTAGGGAGACAAGGAGGACTCGCATCTGCCATGCCTAGTCTCAGCCTTCCCAGCACACACAAGAATCCTGAAGGAACCAAACAAAGGCCTCTGGGATCTTGGGCAGGGACCTTCCATGATGGCCCATGCCACACGCTTGATGCTGTGTGGGTTACAATACACAGCCACAGCCTTTATCTCATTCATCCCGTGGGACTGAGTGGGGAGAAGGGCCTGAATCCCCATCCTGAGTGGCAGGGGGAAGGGGACCTTGTTTCCTAGCTCCTTCCCCAGCTTCTCAGAATCACCACAAGAAGAACCAAAAGGCCTTTATGTATCTGCCCCACTGGACCAAGCAGAGCCCGCCCTACTCACAACTTCCCATCCTTTCTCCATCCCTCTGTCCCCACCTGGGTCCCTGGCCACCCACCATCCCCACCACAGAGATGAGTCGTCAGTGCTGCACCCTGCAGGAGGTGATGGAGACCCACAGCAGGCAGCTGGAGGAGGAAGTGAGGGGCCTTCGGGAGCAGTTAGATCAGCTTCCCCACCCTCGAAGCCCTTTCTCTCAGAGGATCACTGCTGCTGTCCAGACTGAAGAGGTGGATTTAGGATGTTTCTTCTCTAGAAGACTGCAATCTAAGCTCTCATATTGCTTTCCCCACTGACCTTCCCACCATTGAGAATTTCCCCACTGACCTTCCCACCATTGAGAATTGCAGCAGACGGTTCAGGACAGGAAAAAAAAAAACCTTAAGCTATAAGAAGAAGACCTTGGTCTTCCCTGGTGGCGCAATGGTTGAGAATCTGCCTGCTAGCGTGGGGGACGTGGGTTCGGGCCCTGGTCTGGGAGGATCCCACATGCCGCGGAGCCACTAGGCCCGTGAGCCACAACTACTGATCCTGCGCGTCTGGAGCCTGTGCTCCGCAGCAAGAGAGGCCGCGATAGTGAGAGGCCCGCGCACCGTGGCGTAGAGTGGCCCCCACTTGCCACAACTAGAGAAAAAGCCCTCGCACAGAAATGAAGACCCAACACAGCCATAAATAAATAAATAAATTTAAAAAAAAAAAAAGGAAGAAGAAGACCTAAGTCTCTCACCCCATTTCCCTCTCTCAGTGGTGTCTCCAAATCCAGTTCTCACTCCCCACCGCCGCCATGTCTCCCATAAGCAAAACATATTCCCGCTCAGTTTGGCTGATTTTCATAATGAAACCAAGCTTCAATGAAACTGTTTAACTTACTTATTTCCTTATCTTCAAGGCCTAATGCATGGTAGGTCCTAAATAACTATTTGCTAATAAATGAGAGAGCTTCTAAATAAGCATATACATGTATGTGTATGTGTATGTGTGTGTGTATATATATATATATATATAAGCTTTTGTTCTCTTCCATCTTGGTAACAGGATAGAGTTGAAAAATTTTAGCATGGCGCACAGATTTTCCACAATTTTGGCCTCAAATTTTCTTATCCTAAAATAGCTTTATTTTAGCTATAGATATCCAAGAGCTGCTTATCTGCCATGCAGGCCCTGAGCCTCTTTCCTAATCTTTGCCTTATCTCAAATTTAAATGCAGTCAGCATTTATGAAGCACTTCCTGCATACTAGGTGCTTTCCCATACATTATCACATTTAACTCTCACAGCAAGCCTGTGAAGTATGGGTCATTTTCTCTATAAAGATGAAGAAACTGAGTCTCAGAGAGAGATATGTCAGACATTACACAAGTAGTAAATGACAACCAGATTTGGGACTCAGATCTCTTGTCCCAAGCCCACTCTCTCTACTCTACCTTAATGGTATATTTCAGCTCTTTATAGGAACTATGGGAAAATTGATGGCTCTGGGGAAGTCTGGAATGATCCCACTCAAGTTCTGCTCTTTGGGTACCTTTGGAGACTCTGTTCAAACGTAGAGTGTCACCGTCCTGTCCTCTTTCATCCTTCTGCCCCCGTCCCCAGAGATGTGCCAAAGGGAGGCTGAGGCTACACAGAGAGAGGCCATGCAGGCCCTTGGAGAGTGGGACCGAACTCTGGCTCAGCTTCAGGCCCACGTGGCAGACATGGAGGCCAAATACGAGGAAATCTTACATGTAAGCCCTACCCTCTGAAGGCCAGCCATCCCAGTGCCCAGCACCCCCCCAAAAATCCCAGCTAATGTGACAATGACAGACCAGGGGGAAGGAAAAGAAGCATCTCCATAGGGAACTCTGCTCTATCTTAAGGGGATACAACCATGCCTACCCACTAAGAATAAGAGCTTTGAGAAAACACTGTCCAGGAAAGCTTACAGACCAACCTGGGACACCCCTCATCCAGCCCTCTCCCTTCCTGAGATCTGAAGCTTGGTGTCTGCAGGACAGCCTGGACTGGCTCTCCGCCAAACTGAGAGCCGTCAAGCCGTCCACGCCCGGCACAAGGAGCAGCTCCGCCAGTTTGGACTCAACCCCCTGGATCTTTGACTGTGAGCCTCTAGTCTCTGGGGCCCTCTGAGGCCCCAGCAATAAAGCTGTCTGTATGTAGAACTCAACAGGACTGTGGGCTGTGACTTTTGGCAGAGATGAGTGCCCCTCATAGGAACATCTCAGTTCTGGGCTGACCCTTTACCCTGAAGACTGAATAAGAAGAGAGAAATTTGACAAGGTCTCAACTTCTCTCCTAGCGAAACTGGGTCCCACCCCTTGAGCCTGAGGCCCTTTTGGTCACCCTACCCCCACCAACACAAACAAAGGCAGCCAGATTTGTGGGGAAAGGCCATTTCTACAATAGACCAACAGTGACCAGGCACCAGCTCCCACAATCCTAAAGTGCCCACAGAGGGAAGGTGCAGCCGGTCTCCAAGTTCCTGCAATATACCCAACAGTCCTGGAGTCATGCTTAGGGCAAATTCCAGGCGGCTTCAATCCTAGCCGGCCCCACAGCCCGCCAGGAAAGGGAAAACTCTGTTTCTTCTCTATTTTACTACAACGTTCTCAGTTCTACTTCATTTCTGGTGAAACGTGGAGGAGGGAGGTTTCCCACACCAAGTAATTCTCCGTAGACACAATTTAACTTTTGTGTTACAATTTAACTCAATTCCGACACTATCTACCTGGATGTATCATCAGATCCCGCAGGTTAAGGGTTCTGTCCCACAGACTGCCCTCGACCTCAAATACCAATCTCGAGTCCAGGTTGTCACTTGTGCTTCTGACCTACTAGCTATCAGTCAGAGGTTCCCACAACCCCCTCCTTGGGTTCAATCATTTGCTAGAGTGATTGAACTCAGGGAAACAGTTTACTTACTAGATTACCAGTTTATTATAAAGAACACAACTCAGGAACAGCCAGATGGAAGAGATAAACCGGGCGAGGTATGACCATGGAAGCTTCATGCCCTCTCCAGGTGCGCCACCCTCCCAGCACCTCCACGTGTTCAGCAACACGGAAAGCTCTCTGAAACTGTCCTTTTGGGTTTCTGTGGAGGCTTCTATGTAGGCAAGATGCATCAATCCATTGAACACTGGTGATTAATTCAACCTCCAGCCCCTCTCGCCTCCCAGGAGGTTGAGGGTAGGGGTGGGGGTGGGGCACTGAAGGTTCCAACCCTCTAATCACATGACTGGTTCCCCTGGAAACCAGTGCCCCATTCTCAGGTGCTTTTCAAGAGTCACCTCATTAACAAAACTAGGTGTAGTTGAAAGGGGCTTATTGTCAAAAACATAAGACAGCTTTCTGTCTCTTACTACTTAGGAAATTCCAAGGATTTTAGGAGCTCTGTGCCAGGAAAGGGTATGAAGGCCACACATATATTTCTTGTTATAAATCACAAAATCATAGCACTCATCTCACGCAGATCTTCATCCTTGGGGCACAGCTCCCAAAGATCCCACGTGACTTCCTTTGGAATCAAAGGGGAGGTTCCCTCTTGGGCCCACCTGAGGCCTCTGGCCACACCCTCTTCCAGGAGGTGGGCCCATGGGAAGGGAGGGAGGCCAAGGACTATCCTGTGATCGGAGGTATCCGGAGTCCTAGAGCTGCAACTTCTGGTTTAAAGAGAGCTCTCAGCTCCCACCACCTCAGGCTGGAGAGTGGAGACAGGAAAGCTTGGGCAGATCTGTGCCAGGCATAGGGGGGTGCTACAGTAGATCTGAGGCTACAGCCCAGTCCTAAGCAGAGAAAGAAGGGAAGAGGTCATTCAGAGACCAGAAGAGTTCCCTTTCCCTGTACCCGCCCCCCTTCACTGGGATGCCCAGGAACGGGGCTTCTTCCCTGGGTCCTTCTGACCGCATGTACCATGGCCTAAAGTCCCAACCTGAGTGCCCCACACTGCTTCACCCTGCAGCTTCCCGCTCTGCCCTCTGCTCTGGCTCCCCTCTGTCCTCTTCTGGCTGACTCACAGTCCATCTGTCTCTTCTTCCTCACCTCTCCAGACCCTGGGGGAATCCAGGCTTCCAAGCCCTGCTGAGATCTGGCCGCCAGCTTCAGGCATAGGGGTGGCTCCGCCTCAGCCAGCTGCTGAAGTCTTTCCAGGTCATTCTCTCCGCCCATGGGATTCCCGTTCACCTCCAGAATCACATCTCCCATTTGCAGTCCCGCCCGGGCAGCTGAGCCTCCTAGGGTCACCTGGTGGAATGGGGTGGAATGGGGTGGGGGGGAATGTAGAGCTTGGAACACCACGGAAAAGTCTGCTGGGTGTACTGAGGCTCTGGGAGGGAAGCAGAGGAAGGCTTGTCAAGAGGCAAATGATTGAAAAGATCCAAGGTCGCTGGGGCATCAGTCACCTGGGAGATGAAGAGATGAGGCCCACTGGCCACACAGCTGAGTCGGAAGCCATAGCCACCGCCAGGCCCAGGGTACAGGAAGCACTGGCGGAAGCCGCGTGGGACGGTTGTGTCTTCAACTGGTGGGTCCCTGGTCTCAACCAGAGAGGCTGAGCCGGTATCCTGGGGAGAGTCAGGAGCCTCTGTGCTCTCCAAGAAGAGAAGTGGGGACAAGCGAACCTGGAAAAGAGGAAGATAGGACAAACCGTGCTGCTTGTTCCCCCACCCGAGCCCTGCTCTCTTCCTGCCCTCTCTCTAGCCCCCGCCCCTCAGCTCGCACCATGTTGAAGAAGCGGTCAGCCTCGGGGTCGACGACGATGAGCGAGACGCAGGAGCCCTGAGCCCGGATCTTGGACACTGTCTCTTCATGGCCCAGCCCTTCCACGCTCTCCCCAGCCACAGCCACCAGCCGGTCCCCAGCCTGCATCCCGGCCTTCTCTGCTGGCAGTCCTGGGTCCACCTGCCACAGGAACTGACCTGGGATGCAGACATCCTCACTGCTCCTTCCCCACTGATCCCCAGTGCCGGCCCAGGCCACTGTATGCACACCGGGGGACTGACCCAGGGCTACACAAGAGGAGGAGGCCCGGGCTGGGGTTCAGCCAGGGCCACCACTTGTGTGCGCTGAGAGGTGTATATATACACTTGTGTGCCCACCCCAAGGCCCACCTTCCCTCCCCGCCCCCAGGGCTCTCACTCACCGAGCCGACCGTCAAGGCCCTTCTCCTCTCGGAGCATGAACCCGAAGCCCTGGGGCCCTTTCTCTAGATGCAGACAGCGGGGCTTGGTGGGCAGTGCCCAGCCCTCTGCCAGGGGTGCAGCCAGGGGCATTCCCAGCTGGCGACACTGTTCCTCCACCTCTGGCCCTGCCACCAGCAGGGTCACCTGCTTGCCACTCTGCCAAAGCTGTGGGGACCCAGCAGGGCATCAGCGTCAACCACCTGGGTAGGGAGGGCAGAGGCAGGCACCTCCTCACAGCCCCTCTTCCCAGGCCCAGGAATGAGGCACTAGGGAAGGGAGGGGAGGGCCCAGCACAGAGTGTAAAGGGAAGGATGGCGACAGGTACAAGATCGGATCAGGCGATTAGGCGTGTGGAGGAGGAGTCTGCTTCCAGAGGCAGGGACCAGGCCCGAGGGGTGAGGACGGATGGGAAACAGGCAGTCATACCTTCTTGCTGAGTTGGTTATGCGTGAACTTCTCCACGCTGACCCCATTCACTTCTAGCAGCCGGGCCCCAGGGGGCACTCCTGCCTGCTCAGCTGCTCCTCCAGTGCTCAGCACTAACCAGAAAGGACCCCGATGTCCTGGAAGCACAAACAGCAAGCTTCTGCCTGCTTCTGCCCAGAGCAGGGCTGAGATCCCCATCCTGAGCCCTCCCGAGCTCCAAGCTCACCTTGGGTGATACTGAAGCCAAAGCCACCCTCGTCTTTCACTATGTGGCACAGCCGAGGCCGGACCCCTGGGCCGAGAGTGGGACAGAGGTGGGCATCGTTCCCCCGCTGAGCTCGGGCCACCTCATGCACGTGCTGCGCCAAAACCGTCAGCAACACCCGAGGACTGCTGGCCCGGATGCGGCGTATCACCTGAACGGTGGGCACACGGAGCGGGCTTGGGCTGGACCCTCTTGCCAGCTTCCCCTCCCTGGAAGCTACACTTTTCACCACGGGAACCAGCTCTCTGGAGACCTTCACGCAACCATTCGGGCCTGGGTGTCCCTAAGTTCTGGGAGATGGGGTAGGTTGAGGCTTGGGCCCTGCCCCCATATACCCAGGGAGGTGACCAAGCGGCTTCTGTCTCCCTGAGGTGCTATAGAATGTTCTCCTGTACCACAGGGGTCCCAGCCCAACCTCACCACTGAATAGTCTTCATGTTCCACGACATGGTTGTTCACCCCCAGGATCCAGTCTCCTTCCCGAAGACCCTGGCGCTGGGCAGAGGTGCCTGGCTCCACCCTGCACACCACATGCCCAGCCCTGCCCCGCTGCTGCTGCAAGTGGAAGCCAAAACTCCTGCCCTCCTCTCTGTTCAGCAGATAGAAGCGAGGTCGTTCCAGGCTCCAGAGATCTGGAAGGGGAGGTGGGCAGCAGAAAAGGGGGAGGAGAGGGGACATGACCCAAGTACAAGTCACCTTGTGTCTGGCAGACCCTGCCCCTGTGATAGAACACCAGACAGGCTTCTGCCCAGTTAGGTATTGGGCAGGGGGACTGAACACGGACCAGGCAGAGTGGCGGGGACAGGAAATGCCTGGCCCCCTTCCACCTCCACATGGGTACTCCCACCAAGGCTGTTATCAGAGGGAGACAGAGTGAGTGGTTACCAAGGAGACGGGAAGCTGTGTGGAGCCCTGGTGGCTCTGGGGAAAGGAAACGGTTGCCCCAAGTGGTGGGGGGTTACCAGAGGGCTCGTGGTCTTCAGCCAGGGAGAGCACAGGATTATCAATGCCCAGTTTGGGGTTAAACTCAAACTTCCTGCAAGGAAGCAAGTCAAGCAGGTAGGAGAAAACTGACATCCGGACTTGGGTCCCAGGCTCACCTTGAGGTGCTAATGGCTAATGGCAGCTGAAGAGCTTCCCCACCTTCAAGTCCTCCTCCCCTTGCCCCAATCCTTCACAGCACAGCACTTACGGGGCCAAGGAAGCTGTGTCCTGAAGGTCTGCTGGGAAAAGAAGGGGTGAGGGGAGGAGAGGCACATTCTGCCCCCCCGAGACTCCTCTTCCATGGTCATTAACTGAAAGGACTTCGGGGAACCCCCAAATTCAGGACTCGCTCCAAAAGGGTCTTCCCTTCCCCTTCCTTCCCCTCCCCGGGCAAGGCCTCCTGATACGCACAGAAGTCTGAGCATATCAGTACAGGGCGTGGACCAGGAAGGCAGACACATCCAACCACTCACCTCTCCCCTCCTAACTTCCAGTCTACTTGCCTTAGGGCTCCAAGCCCCAGTACCAAGTGTGTCCTGGTCCCAAAGCCTTCCAATCTGCCCTCTGCCCTAAAGTCCCCCGCAGAGGATTTCTCCTGGCCTCTTACCTGCAGCTGCCTCCATGGTTGGATCAGCGAGCCAGGCTCAGTGTAGGGACAAGGTCCATCGAAACCAGCTGACCCTCCCACCTACCCCGCCACGTCCCGCCTCCTCCAAGACGCTGCCTTAGAAGCAGTCAGTAATGGTTAACGGGAGGAGAGTCTTGTCCTCTGGGGAAGTGTGTCTGTTCCTCCTGCCCTATTCTCGAGCCCCGACTTTCTCAGGAGACTCTGCTGCCGCCCCAGTTCCCCCTCTGCGCAGAGAAAGGTCACTGTAATTGCTGGGCACTGTAATTCTAAGCCTGGGATAAGAGTATGAGAAGGGGTACAGGAGCCCTATGGCCCAACATGGCCTACCTCCATGCTGACATCTTGTTCTTGCGCCACCCTCAGGGCCTCTGAAACTAGTGCCCAAGAAACATCTGCAACAGAAAGTGGTCAGTGGTTTAACCAGAATGACCAAGAACAGTACCCTTTCTTGAAAGCAACAGGCAAAAAAGACTCCACAGTAGTTGGAAGGCACAGCTCTTTAATAGCAGCAAGTCAGCACCCACGCCCCTAGGGGCCACCGAGCTCGGGTACAATTGTGAAGGGGAAACAAGGGTGAGGACACAGCACCAGGGAGAGAGGAAAGTGGCCACTGGCATCCTGGGTGTCCCAGGGTGTCCCCAGAAAGCATAAAGGCAGGACGCAGGGGCCCACCAACACATCTGGATGGCAAGGCCCCTGGCAAGGCCGACAAAAGAAGTGTGCCCCCTGGTGGCACAATCCAAGAGGAGATTGGTGGTGGTGCTACAGGACAATGTGGGGCCACCAAAACGCCACATCTTTCAGTCCTTCTAGCCGAAGGGAGGGGAAGCGTGTTCCATGATCCTGAAAACCCCAGACTTGGAAGCACTGGTTGGACATGCCCCAGGAGAGCAACTGGCACAGCTGTGCCCATTCCTTTGCCTCCAGCCCTGAAGGGATCTTTCTGGAAGCGGTAGTGCAAGCTAGGAGGCCACAGACAGAAGCGGCTTGGGGCCAGGGGACACACACTGCTGCTACTGTCTCAGCTTCCAGGGCCTCCCAGCTGCTCCAGGAGGGCCCTGACCTCGCCCTCCACTCGAAGCAGCTGGGCTTTGCGCCAAGGATTAAGGGTGGCTCCTCGGTTATCTTCCAGATCCCGCAGCAGAAGCTCCAGGTGGCGCCGGACCCGACCCCGATCCCAGCTGTTGAGGTTCCGCTGGACTTCACCCAGGATCACTGACCAGTACTCGGACGCTGCTGTCCCCTCTGTCAGCGACACCACGACCCGGGCACCGCCCTCAGTGGTGCTCCCCAAGTCCCGCAGGGCCTGGCGGCACTCTGAGCTCAGCTCGTTGAAGTAGAGGCTAGCAGGAGAGAGAACAGTAGATGCTGTTCAGCTCTGAGAAGAAGGGGCAGAGGGTGGGTGGACAGAGAGTAAGGGTCTCATGACTGTTCCCCTGGCTGTGAAATGCAACGGGGTAAGTGTTTGCAATAAGCCAGAGATGGAGGGTGGTGGCCACTGGGAGGCAGGGATGACGCTAGAATTCAGTGGGACCAGGGTCAATAGAAATGGGGCCACTAGGACCCTAGGAGAAATGGTGGTGGAGAATCAGGGCAGGGGAAGGGCCAATCACCAAGGGTGGGTGGGGAGATGGGAGTGGAGGGCAAGACTCACTGCAGCAGCTCCAGGGAAGGGTGCTCCCGGGCAGCCTTGGCTAAGGCCAGGGCCGCTGTGTCGCCAGCGCCGTTGTAGGCCACATTCAGCTCCTGTAGCTGCTGGTTACGGTCTAGCTGGGCAGCCAGCAGCTCCAGGCCCTCATCCCCAAGGCCCGTGTGCAGCAGAGACAGGTGTTTCAGCGACGTGTTTCCTGCCAGCCCCTCCACCAGCAGGGCCACGCCCGCCGCCGTCAGCGGGTTGTTGGACAGCCTAGGGCCACAAGCACCCCAAGGTTATGAGGGCCCCTAGAAGATGCCCTGTGCTAAGCACTGGGACTTGGGCCAAAACAGTGCACCGCTTGGGGCAGAGACCAGCCTGGACGCAGAGAAATGCAGGCCCAGGAAAAGAGGATGGAGAAACAGGGGTGAGGCTCACTGTAGAGGAGGGAGGGTGGGGTGGAAGCCGGCTTCTCCCTCCCCTCCTCCCGCCTTCCATTCTCCTTTGAGACTCCCCTCTTCCCTCTCCCCTTCCTCGTTACCATGTTCCTTCTTGCTCCTTTTCTCCCCCCCTTCCAGCCCCTGCTTCATCCTCCCTTCCTGTTTCCCCATCCCCTTCTCCCTCCCTCCTCATTCACTTCCCCTTCCTCCAACCCAAAATCAGGAACCCAGCGTCTGGGTTGCTAGTAAATCAGTCAACACTTTGGGAGCATCTGTTGAGTGCCCAGCGTCAGGGTCATCCTTGTGAGGAGACAGGGAAAATCCTGGGAGGGAATCAGTGGCGTCGTTACCAGGTAACCAGCCAGGGTGTTATTCCACCCCCCACCCCAGGCTGCTTTTAGCCACGCAAGAGGCTTTCTTAGCACCAATTTATGGCTGGTGGCATCTTTCCCCCTGCTTGGCTGCTTGTACTAGACGTCGTGGGGTGGGGAGTAGGTCAAGGTCTACACTCCCGCCTTCTTTACTACAGCATGGGTGCGCCTGTTCCAGGCATGTTGGGAGGTGGGGAGCTCACCCTTGACCTTAGCTGGCCAGCAGGATGGAGCCCCCTCCCAGGGCACTCACCGCAGGGTGGTAACTTGGCACTGGTCATGCAGCAGCAAGTCTCGGAGGTCCCTGCAGGCCTCGGGGCCCAGGCTGTTGAGTTGCAAGCTGCAGCAGAAGGCGGGCAGAGAGGAGGTGAGAAACCAAGGAAGGAGTTCGGCATGGAGCCTGCCCACCCACCGGGCCCCTCCCTCACCATCCTGCCTCTTGTAGTCCACAGCTGTGTCCCCTTCTGTAGCTCTTGTCACCTCCACCCGTACCAGATCTCACCCCACCCCCTGGTCCCTCCTCACTCCCTTTGCTTTCCCAAGCACCTTCTCTTCCACCCGTGCACAAGGACAGGGCCTCACCCCAGCTTCCGGGCACGCAGGAAGACAGGCCTGAGCGTGCGCAGCCCGGCAGGGTCCAGTTGGCAGGAGGCGAAGTTCACCTCGTCCAGGGCATGCCTTCCACTGCCCAGTACAGCTGCCACCACCATGCACTTGAGGGGTGTCATGCGCACGCCCGCCAGGCTGAGCTGGCGCAGGGAGCTGAGCACCTCGGCGGAGAAGCGCTGATTCTGGAACTCATAGTGGAAGAAGAGGTGGTCAAGGAGCTCCGAGGGGGGCAGCACCTGCCGGCCCAGCTTGCCCAGCTTCTTCTTGATGGCCTGGGCATTCTCCAGGGCATCCAGGGTCTTGATGGGGCAGCCGAGCTGAGCCAGCACTACCCGGTTATGGGCAGAGAGAAGCCCGCCCATGAACATGGGGAAAAGCTCAAAGACCTCATCCTCTGTGGGCTCGTCCGAGCGGCACCGGGGGCCCTCCACACCCAGGATACTGGCACCCATCTGGTCCAGGACGTCGTCATTGTAGTAGTCCTCCTCTCGGAACATCTCCAGCACCATGGCCTGGGCCACTGCCTCGCGGCTCTTACCTACCACACGCCCGAACACACGTGGAACCACCTGGAAGGGAAGCAGGGTGAGGGCGCTGCAGCCTACTGCGTGCTGTTCAGCCTTCTGGCCTAAGCTTAAGGTGCAGTCTTCCTGACTGCTCCAGCCTGGCGATCTCCCTTAAACTTGAGCACGACTCGTCTGATCATACCAATCCCCCTGCTGCAGCACCTTCCGTGGCTCCCCACTGCCCATGTGGAATATAAAACTTTGCGTAATTTGGCCCCAATGTGACCTTTCCGGCGTCACCTCTCAACACTCGTCTCACGTACTCCAGACACTGGGAAATTCCTTCTTTTTCCCAAACCCCCCGTACATTTTCAAGCCCAAGCGTGGTGGGAAGGAGTTAGCATATATTATGCGTTCAGCTTGGTACCGGGCCCGGTGGTTTAATGATCTTCAACATCATTGTCGTCGTCACAGCAGCGATGACGGATGCTGCTCCTACTGCTTCAGACCCTGCACGATTTGGCCTCATGAAATAAAATTCATATTTTAAGGAAAGACAAGAAAAATTTAAACATGAAATTTTTCTCTGCCCATTTGGGCCTCCTCCCTCCCCTCCAGTGTGCATCTGCACTATGCATTTAACTAGACCTCCCCAAGGGCAGAAATACCCGCTCAATCATAAAGATCACTTTTTCTCCTTCTGGCGCCAGCCATGTAACTCCTTAGAAGATAACATTCCTTTCTCAATCCTGTAAGGGGTCACAGGGACCCACCACTCGCCTCGTATGTGCAGACATCTTCGGTGAACTTTATGTACAATGCCAATATATCATTTTCCTTAAAGATAGAGATTGGTGCAAAACAGACTGCTCAGAGACCTGAGGAGATACTGGGCCTCACCTTGTGGAAGATCTTAGCTTCAATACTTACTTATGATCCTATTAATACTACTAGCTATATTACTTGTATTTGCCTATTTTATAAGATTGCTGTTTCTTGCATTACCAAATGTGTGACTGAGCCTCAGATAAAATTAACGATGAGGGGCTTCCCTGGTGCTGCAGTGGTTGAGAGTCCGCCTGCCGATGCAGGGGACACGGGTTCGTGCCCCGATCCGGGAAGGTCCCACATGCCACGGAGCGGCTGGACCCGTGAGCCATGGCCGCTGAGCCTGCGCGTCCGGAGCCTATGCTCCACAACGGGAGAGGCCACAACAGTGAGAGGCCCGCGTACCACACACACAAAAAAACTAACGATGATTAGGTGACTTGAAACAATTGATCAAATATATAGTTCTATAAGATGAATGACCGTAATAGTGTAACTCTAGATAAGGGAAGAAACAACAAGAGGGAACCGTTCCTTGGATCACAACGGACTAGTAAGAGGTCCAGAGGATTTAGGCTACTGTTAATAGGGTCTAGTCCCCTAATAGCACATTGAGTGACCTATCGATGAAATCCTTGCCTGACCTGGGAATGAGCATTCCTAGTGCTGTGGAACAAATAGGTCACGAAATGCCTCCCAAACCTTGGTTGAAACTAAGACTGAAAGGGAAGGGATTGTAAAATAAAGAATGTTGCCCACCACCCAATTCTACAAAGTCAAGTCATTAGCCACTGCAGTCACTGGCTACAATAACCTTGAAAGGAATTCAGGGCGAAGATGAGGATAAGGTACTTTGTGCTTTGGGAAAACTGACAGAACTGGTCCTTAGATACTTCAGGAGAAATTTTTACGAACCCGGATTCTTGCATCTTTCCATACTTAGAAAAGCACTAAAACCATTAACTGAGATGTCTGTTCCTCGTGACTAGGTTCAATTTTCTACCGCGATGTGTGTTTGATTACACATACCCCCGTTGCCAAAATCGCATATATTGAATACGTTGGCTTCCCTCTTTATGTCTTTGGAATAGTTCTCAAAACTCTCTGAGAGACTGTCTCCTGGGTTATAATCCTCAGATTGGCTTGAATTAAAATTTCCATTTCTTTCTTAGATGTGTTAGGGAACCGTTGACTAAAACCACCGTCCTTGGCCAGGCACGATGATGACCACTTGCATGAGTTGTCTCGCAACAGGAGTTCCCAATAAGGAACGTGGTGCTGCTGTCAAAAACTAGAGAATTCAGGAGGGGCCAAAAAGAGGGAGGAGATGCCAGCCCCATAATATTGTCCTACCAACCTCCCAGAATCCTTGGTGCTGGAATCCATCTTGGCTGAGACACGTGTGCCACCAGGAAGGACCTTGAGTCAGACTAAATAGGGGCCAAGCAAGATGAATGGCCAGAGACAACCCAGAAAGTAACCCCATTACCATAAAACCTGAGACTACAAGCCACGTGGCAGAGCAGTTCTCCTGGGTTCCCTTACACCACTGCTGTCTGCCTGGGTGGCCCTTCCCAATAAAGTCTTTTGCTTTGTCAGTACGTGTGTCTCCTCAGACAATTGATTTCCGAGTGTTACACAAGCACTTGCTCTCAGGGACATCCCTGGTGGCGCAGTGGTTAAGAATCCACCTGCCAATGCAGGGGACACGGGTTCGAGCCCTGGTCCGGGAAGATCCCACATGCCGCGGAGCAACTAAGCCCGTGCACCACAACTACTGAGCCTGCGCTCTAGAGCCCGCGAGCCACAACTACTGAAGCCCGCGCGCCTAGAGCCCGTGCTCTGCAACAAGAGAAGCCACTGCAATGAGAAGCCCACTACACCACAATGAAGAGTAGCCCCCGCTCACTGCAACTACAGAAAGCCCGCGCACAGCAACAAAGACCCAAT